GAGACAATTAATGAAATCTGTTCCTCTTATAGCTAAAAATTAGATGTGTGCACACAGATCCCCTATTTATTCAAATTATAATTTGCAATAGAAAAATGTAGGCACGTATTTTAGTCAAAACGGCACTAGTTTTTAAACTTCTTAAAGTTTTTATCGATTATACTGCCTTATGAGTTACGTGAACATACGAAATTTCAACTTGTGTTTTATTAAACGGTTTTATTTTTAAATATGGTCATGTGAAACAATAAATGCTAGAATAAGAAAAAATATTGCTAGAAGTTACTTAAAAACTTTTTCTAGACTCCATTACAAATCATAATGGTAGGTCATTATGTAAGAGATGTATTACTCTTTATAAACAAAATTTACTGAAAGAATAAATAATTCATTATAAATTGTTTAAGTTTGCAATCATACCCTGGGAATAAAAGTGTGTTTATTAGTTGTAACACGATAAACTTTTGTAACAAAATTGTTCATAGTCTGCATTGGAATTCTTAAATGATGTAATAGGGTACATTTGGCATGATAGTTTAAATTTTCAAAATGGTTGTGTTGAAAATTTAAAAATCGTTTAATACGCCTCTGTCTACCCTTTCAAAATTTCAAAATAAGGCGTCTTTAAAATGTCATTTTAAAAATAATAATTATAAAAATTGTCAATTTTAGTAACTTTGGATATTTTCTCATGGCCACCGTTGAATGATAAAAATTACTTAATATCAACTAAAGTATTTTTTACGGTTCGTTTAGCTATAAATTCTTTATCTCCTGAATGAAGCTGATGTCAAAATTCACCTGACTAAGGATTTTCTTCTCAAGATCGTGTACATTGTTATATTTTTATGTTCCGTCAGCACTAAAAAGGTATGCAACATGGTTTTATTTATTTGAAGCCTCGTAAACATTGTAAAAATTTCTACAGAGTTATAATTTTTAACTCAAGCCCTAATTGTTTTCTTATTGAAATCATCATATATAATGAATGTTTAAATACTTTTGGTAAAATTCAGTCGATAAATTGTAGTATGACAATATGGATAGTCAGCCCTTCAAGCTCTGTCCTAAAACATAGTAGTTCTTTCAAGTTCGTACTAAAAATATAATGCCCAGGTAAACCCCTGCTATATCTTGAAATCGAGATTTGACATTCACGGCGTTTCTTCTCCCTAAGGCAGCACGTATAACTCTGCAACACGTTTCAATCCCAATGATCCTGCGGTCGTTTATTATCTTCTCCATAAGATCCGGGTCAACACCGCATCGGTACACTTGTTTCTGTAGTAAGATATTACATTTGTTTATTTGGATGACGTTTTTTTTTTCAGCGTCAACGTTGGCGTGCATGCGTGGAAACAATACATTTTTATTTATGACAGTGGGAAACTCGTGGTTACTCATATAAAATTAGCAGTCATAATAAGTTTTAGTAGTTCCCAAATATACTGCGTTAATTATTTTGCCAATAGATCATATTAGACGGGTTATTTAGAAGTTTGTAAATTGGGTATAGGAAGTATTATTGGATTACTTGACACTACCTAATTGATTGTCCGATTGTCGATTGATTGGTTATGAGTGGATTTTCGCTAAAATAATATATACAACTAAATATGATGTAACATGACAGTGAATCTTCATCTTTAAAATTCATACTTTTAATATAACAGTGAAAGTGAGTTTGTTTGTTACGTTTTCACACCTAACCGATGAACGATAACCTAACATTGAACCGATTTTAAAAATTATTCTACCAATGGAAAGCTGGTACTAGTTATAGGTGACTTGATATAGCAAGCGCATGTCAAGGGAGATGTCTCTCTGAAGTCCTTTAATTGAGAAGGATAAAAGATTTAGTACTTAAATACCATACCACCACCACAAAAAGAGAAAAATATTTTGTCGTTTGTTTACTTCTTCCCATGTTTCTTAAAACATATTGTTTTTTGTTCTCCGGTTAAGTTTGTAAGTAGAGTTCTAAATATTACCTGACATGATAAGCCCATGGGATAGTCTGTACACCGAAGGTGGAATTTCACGGCGACGTCTGTGAAAGCAAAACACGTTTCTACGCAATAAGATATTCATGTGTCTTGCATTTTATAACGCTACTTCGTATTAAAATATTTATTTTTACTACTACTTCGGTTATTAGGTATAACTGCAGACAAATTTTGCTTTAAAATTACGCGTTAAATCAGAATGATAGTTTTCCTTTGTCTTTGTGGACGTTTGAATATTTTATGTGTTTTTTTTGCGTTAGGCTTTTACATGTAAATTGAAATCACTTTTAATTTTTGGAATCTATTCGTTTCTGTTAGAACTGTTTTGTATGTAAGTGTAAATTTTGTATCGTTAGGAAAAACACATTAATAGTTTTTGTTGGTTTATTTATTAAGCAATGTTTATTGCACACAAACATACATTATACTGAAAATGAAATCATGGTTTTCTAAAGAAATAGTTGCATATTATATGATACGATAGTATAGGACGTAAACAATTTTGTTTTTTCCTAATAGTTCATCTATTCATAAAAGTTAATTTCTTCCTTTACTTTACTTTACGTTATTTCTCTTTTGTATGATCACTGCTGTGAAAACTTTAGCACTGGGTCTTTGACACGATAATTTTCATAACCAAAGAGGCAAAGGATTCTTCTAAAACGGTAAATGCTTTGTACGCACAATAACGAAAACACTAAGTTCCAATGAACACGGAAAGTAGACAAGTGTGATTTGATAAAAGTTGTTTGAGATAAAGGCAACTTTACCCGCGCGGTCTGCTCTCTTTGACACAACTTTTTGAAGACGGCCTATTATGACGGGCCCCTTTGTTTTGTGCGAAACGCTTTCTAAAATATTGCTACAATATTTTTTCACAATTTCCTTTTGTAAAGGTTTAAAAAATAGTTGAGGAAATGCGTCCATTTTTTCAACGTTGATTCTGAAATAACTTAATATTCTTTCAATTTTTGTGATCACATTTCGAATTAAATCCATTTCGTTCTCAAAGATGAAAACAGAATCTTTAACTAGAATCCAGTTTGTTCTCAAACATTTAAAATTCCAAGTAACTAGAAGGTTCGAGAACAAAGATTCGCTGTTGGAATGAAATAGTAACTAAATAATGCTGCAGAACGCTAAGTGAACTAAGTGTTAGGTGCAAGTTTGTACGGTAGTAACCGACAGGGCTGGCTGACTTGTTGATTCACAAGTTCTGCAATCTAACCGGGTAACGAAGTTTAACATTAAAATATCGTAACACTCCGTTACAACAGTTTACGATGCTCCCACGTTTCTTGAAACTTTGTTTAATTTAGTACGGTTTGTTTCACCATGCGAGTTCATACAAATAAGAACATTATAGCTTCACACTTTAGTCAATTTTATGGTGGAAGTGCTTGTACTGGTTTTGTTACGATAAATGTCGCAGACAATTGTTTGTTCTTTAAATGTTTGATTTTAATGAATTGAACAGAATAATTTTCATTGAATTCTAAAATATTTGTGTAAATAGTTCGTATGAAAGTATTCAAAGTTATTGAAAGAGAGCAACATTCTAAAGAATCTAACCTTACAAACAATAAATAATAAAGTAAAACAGTACAGCGTGCTAAGTTGCCTCGGGCGAACTCACTCCGGATCTTCGTGACAGTATCTCTATGCTGGCACGGCGTGACGTCATTGTTTAACACGTCGCGTTCGCGTCGCCCAGTTCGAACACGCTGTAGAGTAAGAGAACATATTTAGGATACTTACCAGTAAATATATTAAATAAATGGTAGGTAGTAATTATATGGACAATAGGATTGTCACAAGCAGTTGTGTTTGCTTAATTGAGTTTGTGGCATATGGGTTTGTTAATGTTAAGACTTGTTTCTTATCATAATTGTGTAATAAAATGGTTTATTTTTTGAGTCAACAATTTCTTTTGAAATTAATGTGGTATGGTTTTTCTTCTTTTACTTTTTCGATAAGGTATGGTAGGAGCATAGAACAGTTCCACCAAGAGTTGTGTCTTTATGTCCCTATTACGATTGAACTCGCCAGAACACATCATCATTATTACTACTTTTGTTACTAATGGATTGTTACTAACGAATTTACTACTACAACTATTATTAAATGTATTTTTTAAATTCTCAACTATAGTAATAAGTTTGTGACCTACTAAAGAATTATAGGAAATCATTTTCAGTTTTAGAAACATTACACAAACTTTAAAACAAATAAACAAAAAAATTAAAAAGCAGTATTATGGAATCCATAATCAAATGGCAGCTCCTCCGGTACTTAGATGATCACCAGCTACTCAATGACCGACAATATGGTTTTTGCCGGGGTCGCTCAGCTGGTGATCCTCTCGTCTTTCTAATACACCGGTGGGCACAGGCGATCGACAACAAGGGAAAGGCTTGTGCGGTTAGTTTTGACATAGCGATGGCCTTCGATCGGGTCTGGCATATGACTCTTCTCTTGAAGCTACTTTCCTATGGGACCAACCTTGATGCTTCTGTCCGCAAGGAAACTGGTGACCTAATTACACAATTTGTCGGGAAGTTCAAAGGTAGGCAGTTTCGAGAGAAGCGCCTTATGCCAGACCCGATCGAAGGCCTTCGCTATGTCCAAACCCGTTTATTGGAGGGCTAGGATGATTAACTCTGTCATGTACTCTTAGGTGACTGCAGTAGCCAACTTTATGTTTAAATAAACGCGAAAAAATACAACTTGTTAGGACACCAAAAGTAAAAGAATTATAAGAAATCACCTTCAGTTTTAGAAGCAGTACAAACATTTTACCCAAATAAACTAAATAAAAATAAATATTTATAATAAAAAGAGTCAACTAATAGAAAATAAAAGACGAATTCTCATTCATAAAAAAAATATTTCTAGAAAAGGTATACGAAACTGATCAAGTGACAGAAATGTACTATCGAATATACGGATACGGCTAACTAAATTGTTAAACACAAGTAAAGAACAGCCTGCAAAATGATGTCCCAACACCTTTCGAGTATGTTCGAGCAACTCGGCAATTTCACTAAGAATAACTTAACGAATAATAACAAAGTGGTGAAAGAGAAAGAGAATAAGACGAGTGCAAACCACGTGGGCGTTGGAGCAACAGGAGTTGGTGGTAATCAACAAGTATCTCCTAAGCATGTGCATGGTCAGCCACCAGCACCACTGAAAAAGCCATGTAAACTGAGAAACGTCGCTTCCAGAGCTGAGTCCTACGACACTCTGTACGGCAATAGCATCTTGGTAAGTTCTAGTCATGTAATTTAATATAATTTTACATATTTTTGACCAAATTTGACATGAGAGGGCTTGTTTGTCCTTTGTTGCTTTAAGCTCTTCTTAGGATCAAAGAAAATATAATGTAATCTGTCTTTATTATAGGAAAGGTTTTTTGCATTTTTATTTCCATCCGTATCAAAGAAACTTACCGTAAAGGTTTATTAGAAATCAGTACGTATATAAAGATTATTGTTTAATGTTTATTAATTAGTTAGAAGACTAATGTGTTTGTTGTGGAAAATTATAACAAAAGAAGCTATTATAATACATGGCCTTTACACTTGTAGTATGATTAATTTTTATAATTACTTTTGAATCGATTATTTTTTGCCTTATTAATCACGCAATTTGAAGAGTTTTTTTTTCAAAAATGAGTGTGTACTAACATTTGTTTTTCATCCCTTTGTAGGTTTTGTGTACGCAAGAGTATTTCTGAAATACTTTATGGCAGTAATGCATTTGTAAGAACATTGCTCAGTATTTTCTAGTTTTACTCTGTTATACGTACTATGCCAGTAAAATAACACCCATTTATACAAATTACACCATTGTATTATCTACTACGATGATATCGTTTCAGTTTCGATTGTTTTGCTAAAGTTTGTTTTAGATAACTTATTACACTGTTCTGATTTATAACACTTATGGGCCCCTTATCAAGTAGATAAAGCTCCCGTCAATCATGCGGTTCATAGTTATTGCATTTATTTGAGCAGAGTATTTGATTTTCCATAGTTGTAATACATTTTTTATGTTAAGACTTTTTACAAAATGGCGGCGACGGCAGATCTTAATTTAATTAAAATTAATAAGAATACATTGTTATTTACAGAATTTCAATAGATGTAAAATCATTACGACAAAAGCTGAAACCCTGAAACCTTTTTTAAAATACAAAGGACGAAATTTAACGGACAAGACGGAAAATGTCTCGAAACCCACTCCAGTACCTTTATTTCGTGATATTTCTTATAATCTTAATAAAATTATAATAAAAGATACGAAGTTGTTCAGAACTTGGAAAATTAATTAAAAATGATTAGCTTTAAGACTGTTCTAAAACTTTGCTCTACGTTTACATATTTATGTGCTATTTCATTAACAATTCCATTTGTGCAGAAAGATATAAAGATGAACATTTTTGGTACCCATCTATAATATGATTATAAAAAAAGCCGCAATGCGTGACCAGAATATGTGTTCGCTTGAATTTTTACATTGTTGTAAGCTGCACAAAGAATATATTAATGTGACACATGGAATGATGATATTTACATAGGCATATAGTTTTGGTAATGCCAACACACACCTTATCCTATAATGGCTTTATTTTATTTTTTTTGTATATCGGCGTTCCCTATAATACCTTACCTACCTTGTACCTTGTATCTTGTGTAACTCTTGGCTTTCGTAAATTATAGATGCAGGTTTTATCGATGCTTAAATTCCAGTCATTTCAAAATCTTTTTCCGTGTGTATATGCTTGTTCGTCATCGTGCTGTAATGCAGTCGTGTTGAAAAACCCGAAGTAAAATATTTTTTACTAAATGTTACTTTGACCTGTCAAAAAGATACGAAGTGATAATTTAGAGCACTTTAACGAAATTAAAATTTTGAACACTAGTCATCAACAGCCTTTAATAGTCCACTGCTGGACATAGGCCTCTCCTTAGAAAGAAGTTTTTGGCCTACTATACCACGCTGGCCAGACGGGTTGGTATAGGGATTGTATCAAGTTTTCCTTCTTTTTGCAGTGCTGATGTCCTGCGTTGTTTTGCGCCCTTAGTCGCCTCTTACGACACCCACGGGATGAATTGGGGTAGTGACATTCCGTATTCTTAATCCGTCACTACACGGACAAGAAGTACACGAACACTAGTAATTTATAATTATTATATGAAAATGGTTCCATTCGGAACAGCTTATACCCTGCCTTTCAAACATAAACCTCCAAACCTTTAGGATTAGAGCTTACTCCCACTTTAAAGGCCTGTACTACGCTAGCCACTCCCAAGTTGCAGGGGTTCATGTGGAGCGGTATAATACTTTAATACTATATTTAAAAAAAAAACTTATTCATAGTACTCATGAGAAAAGAGGCCACGGTAACATGAAATTCGTAAAACTTTTGACACGTTCGCTTTTACTAAATATATCAAATCCAAGATCAATTCACACCCAAATTGGCAAATAAACTCTTCATAACGCTACAGTTGTCCCACAATTCGGAGTCACGTGACGTCACAAAATGGATACATACGGCTCGGACGCGGCTGTAAAACGAACTAGATTGGAAGACACTTCCACAATTTCGTTTCGTGAATGCTAGTATTTTTTGTGAATATTGAAGTGTTTGCTAAGGTAAGGTTTTGTGATTTGATCGATCTTGTATAAAGGTGAAAACAAAAAACAAAGAATGTAGAAGGGGAAGGTGCACAAAGATGGAAATATAAAAATTCGACTGGATTGCTATTGCCTATTGATAACGTACATAAACAGTAAATTTGTAGTTAATTTTGTCATTACCATAAATAAGTAACTGAATTAGTAATTTTCTATTGTATATTTATGTAGGATAATTAGCATCAGTCCTTTGTTTATTGAAACCTAACCTATAAGTAGCTTTCCCGTAAGTAATTCCTACAATGAAAAGTTTTGAAACTGAGATTCCTATAGACTTAGGCATTTGTATTCGTTACTTTATATTCTAATGTACATATAAATTTGTTTTTTTGTCAGCAGCGAGCATAATTTCAATGTTTGTGTTTTTATTTTAGTTTTATATTTTGAATAACCACATAATTACAGTATTTTTTTTCAAGTTTCAGTTCGTTATATTACCTTGTGTACTGATGATTACGTTGATTTAGGTATCTATAGCTTTAAGTTATGCATATTTTTGTTTAAAATCAATAAATATACCGGAATATTGTACGATATTTAAAGTTTTTTATTTCTTTATTTATTTTTATTCGGGATAACAAATAGTTACACTATTGTCTTAGTATGAGGTCTTAAAATTAAAGTAGGTATTTATAATTATGTAGCCTAAAACGTTATACACATTTTATTTTTTAAATGAAATTACTCTTTTAGCTAGATCTTTAAGCGAAGCGAATGCGGACGCTTTAACCCTCTGTGTATAATGTGTATATGTAACTTTAGCAAATAAAAGAAATCTCAAAATAAATAAATTGGAGATTAATTAATAACTAACTAATTAATAAGAAAGACGGTAATTGAAGCGGTCACTTCGCCGGTTCTTACTGCGCTGAGTGTTGTGGGTTCAATTCCTATACGGGACATTACTTTGTGTGATCCACAAATTGTTGTTCTGAGTCTGGGTATTCTTTGTGCCATTTCATGTATATTTGATAAGTCCGCGATACAAGATATATTCCTAGTGCCTCTCGCATGTCTTAAGGAAAAAAAAGTGTAATTACTCATAAAGCTTACACGGAGTAACCTCGTTACACGCATATGCCGTATTGCTATTAGTCCATGCCAAGCTCGAAGACGAGAGTGACCGATGAGGCCTTGACCGATAATGTCATTTAGAAAAAAGGCACTTGGAAAGTGTACCAATTTTTACAGACATACATATTTATATATATTATATTGTGAGATCACATCTATACATACCGCATCGAATTAGGCAACATTATATTATACAATAACGAAATTATTTACTCGAACCGACGAGCGTGAAGGTATAAAAGGCCCGATGAATGCGGACGAGATGCGAGCTGTCTATCACCATCGTGGCAAAACGGCGTTCTATTGTCTCTGACGTGACGGACCTGTCCCGGACGTGAATGAGGCGTGAGTGTATGCATTTTAGTGAAAAGCATTATTAGCGGTTCCTAATTCTATTATCAGTAATTCTATGAAATGGATTTTGTTATCACTAATGGATTAAGAAATTCATACGTCTATTCAAACGCCTTTTTTGCTTATCATTCAATTTTTGTTTAGATACATTGTAAACTATATCGTAATTGAATTCAATTGTTGTACGTATCAGTGAATAATTAAGAATATAATTAATTTATAAATTAAGTTTTTTACTTGTAAAAATAATAATATTCAATCAAAGGTTTTAAAATTTAAAGGTTTATCTTGAAATTGCTTTAAGTAAAAAGTACTTTAATCATCTAACATTTTCTTTATTCTTTTCAATTTATTTATTTATTTTATTCTTTTCATTTAGTTATCTTTTTAATTATTATTCTTTTCAATTTCAGTTGTAATTTATGCGCTTATGAAATATTTCACATCGCATCATCAGCAGCCTACAATAGTCCACTGCTGGACATAAGCCTCTCCTTACCAAAACCTCATTTGGTGTTGGCCTACTATACCACGCTGGCCAGACGGGTTGGTATATATTTGTTTCACGTTTTCCTTCTTTTTGCAGTGCTGTTGTCCTGTGCATTTTGTTCCCTTAGTCGGCTCTTACCCACGGGATTAATAGGGGTGGTGACATTCTGTATTCTTAATCCGTCGTCACACGGATACGGTTGTGAAATATTTATTGACATGCAACTCTTCATGTTTGACAGTATGAGACTGTAGGGGTGGCGTAGAGTTTACGCGGTCGCAATGTCACTTCCTACAAAGTGCAACAGTATAGGGTTACGTACTCGTATTATCCTGTCGGTCACCGACAGCAGGTAGAACACTAACCACACAGCGTAGCGGCGCTACGTGTCGAGTTGCCTATATATTAATATTTTGGCCACATTATATGAACGAATGATCTGAATGAGTTAAATTTTAATCATTTTCTTTCAAACAAAATCCTCAACTGAATTTTCCAAAATGAATCGTTTTCATTACGGACTATTCAATTTTACATTTCATCGTGGCAAATAGATATAACATTACTGCAAAACAACTTTTCAAGTAATTTAGATAGAGCTGGTTATGCTTCGATCAAATTATATAAACATTGGCCCCAATATATCACGCGAGGGGCCAACGTTCAA